TGAAAATGATTAGACTACAACAAAATAATTAAAATTAAGTTATAGATACTATCAGATCTAACCTCAATATTCTTACACATATTATTACCAGTTGGACATAGATCATACCAGTAGGCCCACAGTATCCATTCAACAGATACACTACTACCAGTTGAAGTAGATAAGTAATCATTGACTTGATTACACAATGAAAGATTTGTTGTTGGAGTTATAATAGCATAGCGTGCTTCACCTCTCCCAGTTAAGTCATTGTCATCCCAAAATGCTGCAATGACTGGAGTAGAAATAGGAAAAGAATTGGGTATGTAGGCAATGAAACTTGTTCCTAAACTAATCAATCCATGAGTACTTATCTATAAATGGAGTTATATTATACAAATTATATATTGTCTGAGTACATATAGCCACATCAAAGGCACCACCAGGTCATATATATGGCTTATACAACCTGCAACAAAGAAAGGAAGACTTTTTTAGTCTTCAGAGCATGATGTGGCTGTAAGTATACAATATATTGTATATAGTATATGCCTTCTCAGTAGTTAGACTTTTGCCCCTTGATATCTGCCTGAGGCAAAGCTGATGAGGTCAGGTATTGAGGGGCTGAGGTCTCATGCTGCTGCTATAGACTTCAAAGGCATGGTATATGTATATTACATTAAATTTAGCTAACCCATGCTTCTGTGTGACATGATGATCCAAACCTTAATGGGGAAGGCAGTGACACATTTACAGCATAATCAAGAATGTCATCAAGTACTGAATAGTTAGTAGGATGAAGGAAGGGAAGGTAGTTACCCTCAGAGCTAACAAGGAGACCATTGAAGTAGATAAGTATCACAAACACTATCATCATCTTTCACTGGTATACCAATATGAACTGGATAATCCCAACTGTCTGTTGTTATTGATGATCTTTACATGTATAATACTTTTAAACATATCCTGTTTGGTTTATAAAAACTAGTTAAAAGAAGTGTAAAGCAATAGTAAAGTGGTGCAATAGTGCACTTTAACTTAGTTTTGATTATTATTGTTCACTGTTGTTTATAGACTACTATAGACTATAGTGAGTTTCACCTGTAAACATAATGTAACTTATAAACTTCAAAATATTAAACTATTTGTATAATATGAAACCTATTACTGTAACCTGTAAATTGTCTATTGTATATCTTTAAACTTGTAAACAGACATTTCCATAAATGAGGTTTGGTTCTTGTTCATTTTATGTATGATGGTTGGTTTCTCTGTAGCTTATACTGACGACAGTGTGATAAGAATCTCGTTCAATACTTGTTTGTCTCTTTTTACTACTGTCAGTTTTATGTTAATTGTACTGTATTGCAGCTGTCACAAATACACTGGTATAATGTACTAGTGAGGATATTGTTTAATAAGCTCTATAATGATGATGATGATGATGATGATGAGCCTCTTTTAGATGTAACTGATTCTCATAAAACTGTCGATGAGCAGAGGAATGATATTGTACCCAGTTCTACTGATGTTTTTAGACATCGCAGGGAATCTGTTGTTGATCTATTTTGAAGCATTTATGCATACTGATTGGATTTTTGTTTTACTGTCAATTTTTTGCCATGAACATGACTATCATTTTGTTCATCATCCATTTCATTTTGTTTGTCACTTGTGTGTGATGTACATGTGCAGATGCAATGTTTCAATAATGTTTATATAGTTCAGTTATAAGTTTACATCTGTACTTAGTCTGTTTGCCTTTCTGTGTTTATCATGTGCTGATAATAGCATGCAGTTCTGCATTCCAATAATTATTTACAATTATTTGCTAAGTTGTTTGTTAAGTTTACTTTACTATATTAAGCACAATACATTTCTTTGTGTAGCATTTACACACCATACTACGATACTTTAAAGTACATATTTGTGTGTGTTTATGAATTACAGTACATCAATTAAAATGTCCAACTTTGTATGGGCGAGATGAGACTTGAGGCCTTGTCCCTGGGACATCATATACAGTTGACTTATCAGTAGTACTGACACTAAGAGAAGTGTAGTTGCTGTAGTTATTAGTATTAATTGATGGTATTTCATTGTTTATCATTTCATATGTTGGATCTTCTTTTGTAGCAACTTGGTTTTCATAAATAACTTGGTTTTCGTAAGTGTGAACTTGGTTTTCACAATAAGTCTCTTTAGTACGAGGTATAGAATTTTCAGACTTTGCTTTACCTTTATAGCATTCAAATCATTAATACTAATAACATGTATTCTTTTACCTTTTTTCCTCAGTATTACAATAATTGCTAGTGATAGTATGAGAACAGCAAATGTTGTGAGTCCAAGGAGAACTCCCAGTACTACCTGTGATTGACCTATTGACAGTGTACATTGAACATTCCACAAATACTGTCCTAAGTAAACATACTTTGCTGACCAATATTAGTAGTAGTAGTTGTGAAAGCAGTAGTAGTAGCAGTAGTAGTAGTAGTTAGCATTGCTGAACTATACATTGAGAATATCAATCCTTTGCTGCTTGTTTGGTACACAATAAACTTTTCAGTACTTGAAAATATAACATTCTCTGTATAATTGTAAATTGGGTTTATATAATATTTCATTTCTAACCTGTGTATGATGATATCATTGGTAGAACTGGTTTAATCCAGTCAACTGTGTATTCAATAACTATTGCTGGTATCAGTATCTTTATTCCATTCTCAATATCATGTGCATATACAGTGTATGTTCCATTATCAGTAAATGAATAACATGTTCCATTAGTTTGTATTGATTGTGGTATCAGTGTTGTTGCTGTTGATGCTATTAATACTTGACATTCATTGAGCACTTCAGTAATACAAACAAAGCAGACAATATCCTCATTCCTCTCTATTATTATATCCTTTACATTATATGTATCTATAATAAGTACATACATACACTTACCATACATTGATAATAGTATCTTACTTATTTCTGTTACATTAGAGTTACTAGTTCCATATGTACCAATTGCTGATACTGTTAGGTAATACAATGAATGATCATTTAGGTTTATATTCCAATGTATAGTATAAAACTCATCAATGTATTGAAGACTATTAATACCCAATGGACCTAATGTATTTAAAGTATTAGCTCCAACCAAAAGCAACTGAGCTTTATTTATAAAGCACTGATGTATCTATAGTGATATAATTAATATTATAGTGTATTCTAGTGTAAATAGTTTTACTTGAAATCTTATTATTAATGTTTCATTGGTTAGATATAATGCAGATACATTATCAGGTTTTGTTACTTCTATAAAAAGAAATGATAACAAAAATAATTCCAAAAATTAACTATAGTTGTACCTGTAGATATGATTCTGCTGTCATTGCAACTTGACATAGGCAATGTCAATTTGAAAGTATAAACATTACGAAGAGACAAGTTTTCAGTATAATAGTATACATTATTTCCAGTAACATTAATTGTATCATTAACTGTTTGAAGTGAGTCACTGATACTCAGAATTAGTGTACTGTTAATAACTGGAATTCTGAGTTCCCATGATACTGTAATATTGTGAGGTGTAATGGATAGGAATTCAAACCTATCTATAACTAATGAAGCTATAAGAGTTATGTTACATTGATTAATAATACCTTGATCTAGTCTGTATACAATATTAGTCCATCCTGATACTGCATCATAACAGTCTATGTTAGTAACATTATCAGTATTAGCTAGTGGTTGATTAATATAATACCCACTGCCACTATTAATACCAACACCAGCTCCGTGTCTTGTCCATCGTATGAGTCCACACTTGTATATAAACACAGCATATGTGGCATTACTTTGATGAGCTAATACAACCTGAAAATGATTAGACTACAAGAAGAAATATCATTAATATAAGTTATATACTATTGACCTCAGTATTGTAGCAATATTCATCAGTAAATTGACATACATTATACCAGTGGACCCACAGTATCCATTCAACAGATACACTACTACCAGTTGAATTAGATAAGTAATCATTGACTTGATTGCACAATGAAAGATTTGTTGTTGGAGTTATAATAGCATAACGTGCTTCACCTCTCTCATGTAGGTTAATGTCATCCCAATATGGAGCAATGACTGGAGTAGTAATAGGAAAAGAATTTGGTCTGTAGGCAATGAAACTTGTTCCTAAACTAATCAATCCATTAGTACTTATCTAAAAAGTCACTCTTGGTCACTTTCATTGCATTAAAATAATTACAGTTTAGCTAACCCATGCTTCAGTGTGACATGATGACCCAAATCTTAATGGGGAGGGCAGTGGCACATTTACAGCATAATCATCATAGCCATTCATTATTGAATAGTTAGTAGGATGAAGGAAGGGAAGATAGTTACCCTCAGAGCTAACAAGGAGACCATTGAAGTAGATAAGTATCACAAACACTATCATCATCTTTCACTGCATGAACTGATCTAGGGCTAGTGAATTAGTGATTCAGCAGTTGACAGCTATTTGATGATTGTGCATGTTTAGATAACTACAATTTTGGCTTATAGCTTTCATTGCACACACAATCGCTCAAATGTTGATCTACAAATGACCTCAGTGATTTAACTTATATATTAATATTTACATGAATGCACCATAATTTTGCTTACTAATTGTTACAGGTGGGGTGCACTAGTGGGGAAATTTATGCTTTTGATAGTGTCATCAACAGCAATAGTGGCACCAATATCAGAGGAGTTTTAACATTTTTATCGCTTCATTTCACAATGCTGAGTTGTGGCTACCTTTAGTGAAATATACAGATTAAATTTCAATCATTAATAAAATGAACATTGCAATCAGGAAATTCAGTATTTTGATAATTATGACTGATGTATTTAGATTAATACTTAACTATATAACTAGGCCAATATAATAATAGTAGTAATAGAAAAAGGACCAACTAAGCAGTAAAGTTTTTATAATTTTGAAATTATAAAATAGAGAATTTTTTCCTTTTTAATTTTGGCAAATTTTAACCCAAGACCATGTACTGTAGTACATAGACTTAATTTGATGAAATTTTTGAGCAACTTTAGAAATTTTTAAAAAATCCAATTTTGATCGGAATCACTTCAAACTTTCTACATTACATAAAAACATGTGTATGTACCAGGACAATTCTAAAAATGAAAAATTCTACTGGGATTTTGGTTAGATTTTTGAGCAACAATAAAAATTCATAAAAAATCCAATTTTGATCAAGGTCACTTTAAATTTTCTACAAAGGACCATTAACATACAATTACTGATAAGATTCAAACAGCATGTTACATAATGTCACTCACTTAAGTCTCACTTGATGTGTGTGTATTTGGATTCCATTATACTGTGTGTGTGTAAGGCAGCAGTGAAATATTGTAATAGTGCATACCATATGCTTTGATTATGTTGTTCACTGGGTAGTCTCACACATTAACATAGTGTAAACATATAAAGTCTATACTGTTAATTGTAACAGAACCAGTGATCTCTAAACTGTATTGTACCATACAATTGTACCCAGTACTATTGATAATTTTAGACATTGTTGATCTGTTTTAAAGCATTCATTTTTGCTTAATTTGTCTAGTTTGTCTTGTTAATACCAGTTACCACTATTTTTATTATAATTTTTAAACATTGGCCAATTATGCTTGTGGTCAAAGGTATAAAAGCTTTAATTTAATAACAGCAATGGCATTATATATTTAAGTATTATAATCAAGTATTCAATGTGATGTTGTGATGTGTTTGTGTAAGCGTGGGAACTTCATGTATTTAATGTTTTTAATATGTGCATCAATGTATACATTAATCTGTACAAGTACATGTGCTTTCTGCAAGTAGGCAAATAGACAGCAAATGTTAAGTGAGAAATGAAAGGATATGGATATACATATTTATGCCCATAAATTTTGCCTGGCCAGCAATTAGCACGGGTAAGGACTACATTTATAAAAATACATAAATATGATTATTATCTGTTTATCATTTTGTTTGATTTTCTTTATGAATTGAGTATAGGGTACAAAGTGCATGTGTGCAATGTTTCTGTAATGTTTATAGCTCAGTCATTGTTTACATCTGCACGGTCTGTTTTCTTTCTATGTTTTTGTGTTAATAACTTTCAGCTTTACATTCCAACACTTATTTGTTAAGTTTTTTATATTATAGCATAAATTTGTGCAGCCTTTACACACTGAACTACAATACCATAAAATACATGTGTGTGTGTTTATGAGTTATATAATTAATGTATCATTTAAAATGTCCAACTTTAGATGGGCAAGATGAAACTTATGGGCTTGTTTCTGGGACATCATATATTGTTGAGTTATCAATAGTACTGACACTAAGAGAAGTGTAGTTGTTGCAGTTATCAGTTGATAGTATTTTATTGTTTATCATTTCATATGTTGGATCCTCTTTTTTTGTGAATGGGATCTCATAAGTCTCTGAAGTATGATCAGGTATGGAGTTGTCAGATTTGGCTTTACCTTTATAGCATTCAAATCATGATAACATGTTATTGTATCTTTTACCTTTTTTCCTCAGTATTGCAATCATTGCTAGTAATAATATGAGAACAGCAAGGGTTGTGAGTCCAAGGAGAACTCCCAATATTATGTTAGTGACCTGTGATTGACCTAATGACAATTGTGCATTTTAATGAAATACCTTTAGTATGGCACCTTACTTTGACTATCAATATTATTAGTAGCAGTAGTAAGTAATACTGAACTAGTTGAGGTAGCACTGGACTCCATTGGAATTATCAATCCTTTGCTGCTTGTTCGGTTTATCATAAACTCTATTGTATTTGAAAATTCACTCTCTGCAAAATTGTGTTGAATAATATCTCATTACTGTAATTACCTGTATCTGATGGTTTAATCCAGTCAACTGTGTATTCAATAACTATTGCTGGTGTCAGTATCTTTATTCCATTCTCAATATCATGTGCATATACAGTGTATGTTCCATTATCAGTAAATGAATAACATATTCCATTAGTTTGTATTGATTGTGGTATCAGTGTTGTTGTTGTTGATGCTGTTATTACTTGACATTCATTAAAAATTTGAGTTATACAAGTAAAACAGACAATATCTTCATTCCTCTCTATTATTATATCCTTTACATTATATCTGCCTACAAATAAAATGATTAATTGACATTAAGTTTGTTACATTATTACTTATTTCTGTTACATTAGAGCTACTAGTTCCATATGTACCAATTGCTGATACTGTTAGGTAATACAATGAATGATCATTTAGCTTTATATTCCAGTGTATAATATAAAACTCATCAATGTATTGAAGACTGTTAATATCCAATGGACCTAATGTATTAATGTGTCTATTAGCTTCAAACAGAATCAACTGCACTTCATCTATAAAGCACTGAAGTATCTAGTGATATAATCAATCTTATAGTGTATAGTACAAATGCTCTTACTTGAAATCTCATGATTATTGTTTCATTGGTTAGGTATAATGCAGATACATTGTCAGGTTTTGGTGTCAATGCTATATTTTGAATTAGAGAACATTAATAGTTACTCTTTAGTTGTACCTGTAAATATATATTTTATGTCTTCATTGCATTCGGTTTTTGCTTTTGGTAGAGCCAGTTTGAAAGTATAAAGATTACAAAAATTTTTGCCATCAGTATAGGTATATGCATTATGTCCAGTAACAGTAATTGTATCATTGACTGTTTGAAGTGAATCAGTGATTTGCAGAGTAAGTACACTGTTAATAACTGGAATACCCATTTCCCATGATACTGTAATACTGTGAGGTGTAATGGATAGGAAGTCAAACTTATCTATAACTAATAAACCTTTGTAAGAGCATGCTACATTGATTAATAGTACCTTGATCTAGTCTGTATACAATATTAGTCCATCCTGACACTGCATCATAGCAGTCTATGTTAGTAGCATTGTAAGTACTTGATAGTGGATGAATATGGCTACCAAAGTCATAGATTATACCCACAAAACCTATAAAACCTATCCAGTTTATGAGTCCACACTTGTATACAAACGCGGCATATGTGGCATTATTTTGATGAGCTACTACAACCTGAAAATGATTAGACTACAAGAAAAATTATTTAATATAAGTTATATTATTAATTAACCTCAGTATTGTTACAAATATTATCAGTATCTGGACATAGGTCATACCAATAGACCCACAGTATCCATTCAACAGATACACTACTACCAGTTGAATTAGATAAGTAATCATTGACTTGATTGCACAATGAAAGATTTGTTGTCGGAGTTATAATAGCATAACGTACTTCACCTCTTCCAGCAGTTAAATCTATATTAATGTCTAATAATGGCATAATATACAAGCTACCACCAAAAGAGATATATCCATAAATCTCAATCTAAACAGTATATAAGTTCATTCATTATACTCATAGATGTTATACAATCCTCACTATTGCATAGTTGAAACAAGAGGATCCAAATTCAAGTGTGGACGGGAATGATACATTAACTCTATAAGAAGTATTGCCGATTGTTAAATAGTCAGTAGGATATAGGAAGGGAAGGTAGTTACTCTCAGAGTTAACAAGGAGACCATTGAAGCAGATAAGTATCACAAACACTATCATCATCTTTTACTAGTATACCAATATGAACTGGATTAATTCTAATCCCGACTGTGCGTTGTTATCAATAATCTTTATATACATAATACTTTTAAACATATCCTGTTTGGTTTATAAAAACTAGTTAGTAACTTATTAGAAATGTAAAGTAATAGTAAAGTGGTACAATAGTGCACGTTTGATTATTATTGTTCACTCTTGATTGTTTATAGACTATAGACTATGTTTTTAAACTTGTAAACAGGTATTATTTCCATTACAGCTTATATCTGTTACTTATTTACAATATAATAGAAGTTCAACTTATGTAGATCTAGTATGGTTGGTTTCTCTGTAGCTTATACTGATGACAGTGTGGTTTTAACTCAATACTTGCTTGTCTCTTTTTACTGTTAGTTTCATATTAATTGTACTGTATCACCTCTACTTGCAGCTATCACAAACACCCTGGTATAATGTACTAGTGAGGAAATTGTTTACTATGCTCTATAATGATGATGATGATCTATAATTATATAACTTCCAATAACCGCATGGTAGGAAAATGTAGCACTGTGTAGAATATAATATAGTACTGCACAGTATAATATGTATGGGTGTATGGGCTTTCCTGTTAACCACAAGCTTTGATAGAAGCAAATCACAGCCACAGCTACATACACTAGACATGTAACAATAATAATAAATAATAGTGATAAATGAGATCTGTAGTCTGGTCCAGCCTCTTTATTGCGTGGGGGCTGTGCCACCCCTGCGCAACAAAGAGGCGGGACCAGACTATGATGATAATTGGATTTTGTTTGTCTTTTGTGTGCATGTCACTGCATTATTACAATAATGTTTGCCTCTAGTTTTATTCATATCCTGTTTTTTTGTTATTTTTGGTGTTTATATCTTATCTATAGTTTTGGTCACATCAGTTTACATTTGTTGTCTGTTTGTCTGTGTTTATGCAGCAAAGGATGATGTTTTCAGCTTTGCATTCCAATAATTACTATTATTATAACTTATCAGTTGAGTTGTTTTTTAATGTTTTACTGTACTAAAAGCATACAAATTAGTTTAACAAATTGAACTACAATAATAATAATGTGTTTGTGTGCAGTGTACTATACTGAGTTATTTGTTATACTAAAATTGGTTCAAAACAATAAACAGTGTACTAGACTTATATGCACAAAATATTTATACTCCTAATAAGTCTCATATTTATGCACACAAAGTTTTAAAATATTGTAAATGTCTTATTGTTTTAAATAAAGCTTCATTTAAAATGTCCAACTTTGTATGGGCGAGAAAAGACTTGTGGCCTTGTTTCTGGGACATAATATATTGCTGAATTACATGCATCAGTAGTAGTACTGCTAGCAACAGTTTCATAGTAGCTATTAGTAATACTTGATGGTATTTTATTGCTCATCATGTCATATGTTGGGTTCTCTTTTGTAATAACTGGAATTTCATAATTTTCTTGAGTATAATTTGTTTTACCTTAATAGCATTCAATCAATATTAATATATTGTGCTCTTAATACCTTTTTTCCTCAGTATTATAATCATTGCAAATGATAGCATGAGAACAATAAATGTTGCAAGTCCAAGGAGACCACCCAGTATCATTATAATAATAATCTGTGATTGACCTATTGACAAAATAGTCATGTACATGAACATACTATGCTAATCCTACTTTGATTGCTAATATTTTTAGCAGCAGTAGTGTTATGTATTCCTGAACTAGACAACGTAGTACTGGGTTTTATAGTACTGGGTTTTGTAGTACTGGGTTTTGTAGTACTGGGTTTTGTAGTACTGGGTTTTGTAGTACTGGGTTTCATTGAAAATATTAATCCATTGCTGCTTTTGCTTTTTGTAGTACTTGAAAATTCTCTTTCTGTAAATTATTACAATGATTTTTTACTCAATAAGTTTTAACTGACCTTTGCTTGATGATTGAAAATCATCAATAAATGTGTATCCTATATAATAATACTGAAAACAATACAAATTCAAATTATTACTAACCTGTGTCTGATGGTTTAATCCAGTCAACTGTGTATTCAATAACTATTGCTGGTGTCAGTATCTTTATTCCATTCTCAATATCATGTGCATATACAGTGTATGTTCCATTATCAGTAAATGAATAGCATGTTCCATTAGTTTGTATTGATTGTGGTATCAGTGTTGTTGTTGTTGATGCTGTTATTAGTAGACATTCATTGAACACTTCAGTAACACAAATAAAACAGACAATATCTTTATTCCTTTCTATTATTATATCCTTTACATTATATGTATCTATAATAAGTACATACATACACTTACTATACAAAATAGTATCTTACTTATTTCTGTTACATCGGTAGTACTAGTTTTATATGTACCAATTGCTGATACTGTTAGGTAATACAATGAATGATTATTTAGTTTTATATTCCAGTGTATAATATAAAACTCATCAATGTATTGAAGACTATCAATATCCAATGGATCTGATGTATTAATGTGTCCATTAACTTCAAACAGAATCAATTGCACATTATTTATAAAGCACTGCTGTATCTAGTAATATAATTAATCTTATAGTGTATACTGTAAATTAATGCTCTTACTTGAAATCTTGTTATTAATGTTTCATTGTTTAGATATGATGCAGAGACATTGTCAGGTTTTGGTGTCATTGCTATAAGGAAGAGGAATTATATTAATAATATTTCCTGTACCTGTTGTAGAGATGATTCTAATGCTGTCGTTACATTCATTTGACATAGGCAGTGCCAGTTTGAAGGTATATGCATTACAAGAATACAAAATACCTTTAGTATAATTATATACATTGTTATATTCAGTAGCAGTAATGATATCATTAACTGTTTGAAGTGAATTAGTGATATTCAAGACAAGTGTACTGTTGTTGTTAGGGATGATATTCCATGAGACTGTAATATTGTGAGGTGTAATGGATAATAATTCAAACCTATCTATAACTAATGAAGCTATAAGAGTTATGTTACATTGATTAATAATACCTTGATCTAGTCTGTATACAACATTAGTCCATCCTGATACTGCATCATAGCAGTCTATGTTAGTAGCATTATTAGTACGTGATAACGGATGATTAATATAATACCCACTACCACTATTAATACCAACACCAGCTCTGTGTCTTGTCCATCGTATGAGTCCACACTTGTATATAAACACAGCATATGTAGCATTACTTTGATGAGCTAATACAACCTGAAAATGATTAGACTACAAGAAAATTATTAATATGCATGTAATTATAGATACTATTAACCTCAGTATTGTTGCAATAATTATCACCAAATGGGCATACATCATGCCAGTAGGCCCACAGTATCCATTCAACAGATACATTACTACCAGTTGAAGTAGATAAGTAATCATTGACTTGATTACACAATGAAAGATTTGTTGTTGGAGTTATGATATCATAGCGTACTTCACCTCTCCCGTTTATGTTAATGTCATCCCAAAATGGAGCAATGACTGGAGTAGTAATTGGAAAAGAATTGGGACCATAGGCAGTGAAACTTGTTCCTAAACTAATCAGCCCATTAGTACTGATCTATAAATAATAAGTTACTAGTCTTGTACTAATTAGAGTTTAGCTAACCCATGCTTCAGTATGGCATGATCCAAACCTTAGTGAAGAGGGCAGCAGTACCTTTTTAGCGTAATCATCATAGCCACTTATTATTGAATAGTCAGTAGGATACAGGAAGGGAAAGTAGTTACTCTCAGAGCTAACAAGGAGACCATTGAAGTAGATGAGTATCACAAACACTATCATCATCTTTCACTGGTATACCAATATGAACTGGATGATAATCCCGACTGTGCGTTGTTATCAATGATCTTCACATATATAATACTTTAAACATATCCTGTTGGC